TCTTTCCCTGGAGATAGAGAAGAACTGTGTGGAAGTCCTGATGTGCCTCAGTAGGGGAAGATCAGTGGCATGGACTAATAGCTATGTTGATGCGATTGAAATATAAATCATTCTTTTGGGGGCAGGTGGGGAGGAAAGGAAATTGTACACGTGTTCCAGATAGAGGCATTCTCTGATGTTAATAGCAAATATGTACGCATACATGTGAAAACAGAAGACTAACATTGCCTTTAAAGCATGTGATTGACTTCACTTTTTTTTCTCTGAAAAATAATCAAGTAGAATCCAAAAATTGTATTAGTAGGTGGCAGTTTTTTAAAGGAATACATAAAATTGTAGGGTGGAGTAATATTTTTAAGCTGTATTTCATTTGTAAGCTAACTACAAATTAAATTTCTGTATGCTTTCATCACTCCAGATTCGTAAAGTTACACTGACATAGGACCATTAAGAGCATAAAAAAGGACTGCATGCATAAGTTGCATCTATTAGGAATTAAATGTGTATCATTTGCTTCAGACCCCTTTTCTGGTTCTCTCAAGTATTGAAATAACTGGAGATCAACCAGATTTCTTTTGTAGTCTTTTTAATTGTAATTGCTGCCTAAATGCACTGGGTAATTAAAAGTAAAATTCTCATTATTTGAGGTACCCCTAGCTTTTCTCTTAATGTTAGAATAGGGCACTAGCTTGATTATACAGATGTTGACATAATGTCTTGAACAATTAAGGTCCAGTGAGGCCTTCTATAGCTGTTTTACTTCTTGCTAATATGAAACGTGAGCATTTATGAGTGCTAATCATGTTTCAGTGTGGTTTTTTTAGTGTTTTTTTTCAAACTTTTAATGAGTGCTAATCACTGTTTTAGCCACTCAATATAGTATATGAATATGTCTGCTTTCACGTTCATTCCATATGTCTGGATTTAATATTGTCACATTCATGTTGGTTTTGTTAGGTTGTGTATCAAATTACCGTAATAATGAGCTTAATCTGTACTAAGTTAGAATTTCAGGTAGTGAAATAATTTGTTCATTACAGCCATTTGTCATTTGCTTATATCTACATTGAAAGAGAGGTCCCTACACCAAAAGCTTTTTGATTATTCTGTAGTTCACAAATAGAGAAGAGGGAATAGGCAGTTGTAAGCATATGCTAGGAAATTATTCAGATAGTGTAGAGCAGAGTAAGTCTGAAATAGTTGGTGACTACAAACAATGAAGCTTAAAGTAGATTTACAAGTTTGATGGTTCCATGTGCCACTGAGATGAAACTTACACCTCTGGCTCAACAGGGTAAGGAAACCCTGAAAGATGGTGCAGGGTGTTCCTCTGCTGCAGTGAGTTCTTCTGGACCATGAAGTGTGCCTTTTGTCGAGTACTGCTGGTAGTGACTTGAGAGCAGTAAGCCATTGGGAAGAAGGTGGAAGTGACTGGAATTCTGCTTATTCAGTTGAATTTTCCCATGAGATAGCAAGTCCGATGGAAAGAGCCCACTGTTGTTGAAATAAAAAGCCTTGCTTTCTGCTTCTTCTGTTCAGGTACTTTGCAGCAGAAGTAGTGGCTAAGCTACTTGTAGTGAGTTTACTTGGAAGGAAAATATTCTGGTTTTGTTGGATTAGTTTGCCATCCAGTTAGTAGATTAAACTTGGTCTTGATGAAGTCCAGTGAGCCCCAAAGCTGTGGTTAAGGTTAGAGAAAGGAAAGAGCTTGCAGCTGTGAGCCAAGAGCCCAGAAAAGGGCGTAAGAGGGGAGAGGAACTTTGTCTTTGGATTGTCATTATCTTAGATTAGATAATCTTCAGATAGATTGAATAAAGTGAATAGGATTAAATGCTGCAAAACTATAATTTGTTCAGTGTGTAGATTTCATGTGGTAGAACTATAGTGTGAGAGAAAAGAAGAAACACATTACAGCTTTTGTTTCTGTGCTCATCAGAGTAAGAAGACAACTTTTTTTGTTTTAATTCTGAGGGGATTTGATGTGGTTTTTGTGTCAAAAGAACTTTAAAACTGACAGCTGTTGTTGCAACCATCAATTTCAGGATTCATCAGTTGACTGTGAAAGAGGGATGGATCTCTTGCAGTACTGAAAGTGACTGACCTGTGCTATGCTGAATTCACCATAAATTTATTCCTGCAAGAGGGGTACTCTGATTCAGGGGTATCTCCTTGCCTTGATCCATCATTCCTCAGTGACAGTCTTAAAAAGGTGTCTGGAGAGCACAGAGATGAAGCCTGCAAGCCTGGGCAGGCTGCTTTGTTTGCAGCTGCTAGAAGTGGTAAATATAATGTGAAGCTGGAGGGCAGCAGGTAGCTTTTCTCCCTCCTCTCAGGGCAGGAAATTAGGGGCTGAGGAAAGAGACCAAAGCTGCAGAGAGACTTCTGAGTGTATGTATAAGATACAGCAGTAGGCAACAAAATGAACAGAAGAAAGAAAAGAACATTTGTCATTAACGACACAATTTTCTCCTAATTGCTATAATTAGCAGTAGCTTCAGAAGTCTTATCAAAGTTCTCTAATATGATTACAGTAAAAACTTTTATGTTTTTTCTGAATGGAAGAAATAATAAATGTAGTAAGCAATAGCTGTATTAAAACCTGAAAAGTGCTTGTAGCTAAAATTATTTTATAGGTGATCCTAGTTCTTCTTTGTCTACAAACATGCACCTCAGGTCTAGCAGACTGTCAAATATTGGAAATAATTGCTTACCTCAGTAGTTACAGAAATATAATTAATAGAACTTTTATTTTCTTCTGCAAAAAAGGGCTATGGGAGCTTCTCCATAGGTTTTTCCACACTTTTTGGAAGCACTCTGTATCACAGCTGAAAACATCAATGATTTTTGCCTTCCCATATAATTTGTCAGTGCGTTGTATCTACCCTTGAAGTGTTGTTTCCCAAAATAAACAGTTTGTTATTCACTGTGGAAAACCCCTTTTCTGAAGAGTTTATCTAAGCATTGTAAATATTGGAAATCTTTACTGCAGAGAAGTGCTGAGAATCAGTTAGCAGAAATGGTTAAAATATGCAGTTGTGTGTTCTATCATGGCCATCAAATTTTTTTTAGCAGAAATGGTTAAAATACACAGTTGTGTGTTTTTCTATCATGGCCATAAATAATTTTTTGTCTCTACCAACAAAATGCTGATGAAAAGGATAACCTAAACTAGGGAAGGGAGAATAAAGATCTGTGCACTTCAGCTTCTCATTGGCAACAAATGCTGTTTACGAACTGAAACGGGTTGTATAGATCCAGACAGGACAAAGCATTCAGCTCCAACTTAGAAAGGAGAGATGGTGCTTAAGTTACTTAATCAGATATGTTAGCTTTTGTAGACTCGTAATGACTAGTTAGAGTGGCCTTACCTATTTAAACTTCCAAAATGTGTTGTGGCCTTGTTGTCTTACCTTGTAGTTGTGTGTACAGTAGTACCTTCAAACACTTCATCTGTGAGAACTTAATTGAACAGTATTAGCCCATTCACATGTAAAGAATTCAGTGAGTGGTGTGAATTTGAATCCTGGACCCGTAGGTTACTTCAGTTAACTGTGCAAGATTAAGTTGCCTTTTTTTTTTTTCTTCTTTTTATTCAGACTCCACACAAAATAAAACAGTATATTAATGCATAGACAGAATTTTAGTGGCATCAACATGAATTTCCAAACTTGGTCAGCTTTCTAGTATTATCTTGATGGAACCATCCTTTTTCTTACTTTTGGAAGCAGTTTGAAATTAAAATTGTGAGGATAGAGTTATGTTTGTCCTTAACTGCTGTGGTTATTCTTTCCCCCCCTGCTAGTTTTCTCTTTTCTTGGGCTATTAAGCTTATTTTATCCAGAGACCTTCCTCTGAATTTTTATTCAGAGGCAGCTCTGTTTCTGGAAAGTATTTAATTCCTTATTCCTATATATCTGAAGAATCTGTGCAGGAGGTCAAATTAATTAATTAAAGAAGATTACATCTTTGCTGGTCTAAAGTATGCTTATTGCAACAACAGGCAGATACAGTCTGAAATGGATCTTAGTGCTGAATCTCTGGTTGTTTCAGGTTGTGGGAATCTAGGAAAATGCTGACTCTTGGTACAGGCACTGGTAAACGTTCCGGTTCTCTGGGGAAATTCAGGTTAATTTTTACAAGGCTTCTGACAGGTGCTGATCAAATATGTTGGACCAAAACTGGAGTGTCTAAAGTTAGACTAAGTACAGATTTAGGAGTCTTACTAAATGAAGAAATCCTGACGTACATTACTGTCTATCTTCAGCTGCCATTTAACTTAGTGGGATTTGCATTTGATCAACAGCCTAAAAGGTCAGACATGTTTTAAATAGAAACAGTCTCAGTTTCGAAGACCAGGAAACTGTAGTTTAGGCTTGTAAGAGCCTTGTAATGTGTGGATATTATCCAAAATAGGTTGAGGAGGGGAGACAGTGTGGTAAAACCTGTTGGTCAGAAACCCAGTTCAGACTTGATTTCTAACAAGATGTGGTAGGATGCAGGGAGGAAGGGTAAATTGCGTTTTGCCCCTTGGTTTTGTTCCAGAGTAATTTTTTTAAAAATACTTAATTCGTTGCTTTTTTGTTTCCTTAGATGTTATTGATAGAATGTATAGCCTAGTTATGGCCCAAGAAAGCCAATTTAAAATACAATATATATAAAATACAAAAATACACATTTTTCAGAAAATCCCTGATCAGCATCTTGTCACTCTGTTGGCACATCTGTGTAACATCATGCAAATGCAGTAGACTTCCAAAGTCAGTTTTTATTTTGTCAATAGATTGTGACATTTAAGAAGTAACTATAACTCTGCTGCTCCTGCCTGAGCAGCAGTTGTCTTACGCTGTGTATACACATTGTATATAAACATGCCAACTTCTTATGCTTTAGATGGACTTGGCAGCTTACCAGGCCTTAATGCCTTTTACTTAGTTGAAGCCTCAGGAGTATTCTTACATGTGTCACACTGTATTTACTGGTATGCAATATAATTAAAATTAACTTTTTGTTCTATTTTAGATAGCCATAGAGTTGTGTGTAGATTGACAAAATGTGCTAATTTGAATCAGAGTCACCTTTTCAAATTCATGTTTAACTTTGTGAAATGCTGTAAACTCACACTATATTGGGAGCCCTATGGTGATGCAGCAAATACATCTGTTGTGGATAATATACATTATTAAAAGCAATCTATTTTTGGCAACTAATGAACAAGTGCAAGGAGCTGAGGAACAGAAGCCTCATGACAAGAAGCAGCACAGCAGCAGAGATGAATGCAATGTCTTGCACCTGGGACGTATGTGGCTTCTGCCTGTTGGTGCTGCTGGCTGGATGGGCAGCAGCTCAGCAGAAGTACCAGGGAGGGCTGGTGAGCAGCAAGCAGAGCTGTGAGGAACTCATCCTCACCCTCAGCAGCAAACTGCAGTCTGGGTTGCTTTATTTAGCAAGCACATAGCCAGCATGAAGAGGGACCCATCTCCTCACTTCTTGCATGACTGCACTGGGGTGGCATATAGGATAGAGAAGATAAAGCTGAGGAGAAAGCTACAGGCTCTTGCAAGCTAAAGAGAACTGAATAGATTTCATTCCAGATTTCATTCTGGATTTCATACACTTTTCCTTCTGAAATTCCTTTTAAATCTTTATTGTAGTTGTTTGCATGTTTAGCTCAATCCTTTTTTGTGCTGTACATGCTGTACTAATTTAATTTAGATATTTTTGTTTGTTTGGGTTTTTTTAATTAGAAATCAAGCTCACAGTTGACCCAGAGGGCCTTGACTAACTTGAAGGTTTGTGTAGCTGCGGATGCCTGTCTGCTAATATGAGCATGCTGCTGCATGTCTCTGTTGTAGATGGGCCAACACTGCAGCATAATCTTTCCTTTAACTAGAAATACTTGCTACAAGTCAGCTTTGCTGTTGTAATACTCTTTCAGTTTAACTCCATGGAATAATTCTAGGTTTTGACTTGGTGCTATTGGCTGTGTAAGGTCTATGGATGCTAGTAGTCAGCTATCACTGGTGTCTCACCAAAGTTCTTAATCTTTGTGAAAATAAGGGTTTATTGTACTTATTCTGTTTCTGCTGCAAGTACTGTTGCTCCTTCTGTATGGAAGTGTGTTTTTTTAAAGAGAAAAATGCATTTTAAATCTACTTATTTGTTTTCCATTCCATTGTGTTTTATTATGGGATCTTCTGCCTATGACATTGAGTAAGAGTATAATACTTGTGAGCTTTTCTGTCCATAAAAATAAGAGAGCTTTTCATGCAGATTTTAATGGTTTATAATCCAAAGCCAGCAGCAACTCCCAACTTTCCATGCTTATTGTTTATTCTCTTAAGATAAATCATTTGACTTTAGGTTTGCATTACTGACAGATTAAGCTGCCAGTGTAAACATTGTAGGATTGAGTATTTTGAAAGATGTGTGTAATTTTGTGAAGGAACTAACCCTGCAAGTATCCGGAAGCAATGTAATGTTGCATGTGTTCAAATAATATTTTGCAATGTTCATGAGAAAAGGAAGTCAGTATTTAGGAAAGTATTGGTGAAATGGTAACAGTTTATGATTCTTATTTTTTGTTTACTGAAAATAATTCATGACACATGGAACTTTTACTGGAATTTACATGAAAAGTTGATTCTGGAAGTAGGAGAGACACTTATGTTACTGTACAGCCAAAAAAATGCCATTATTTATAGTTGGGTAACCTTTCAGATTACTTTTGACGGTAGAATTCAGCTAGAGTGAAAATGTTTTGGTTTTAAGTCTCCAAGTTTGGGTTCTATTCATGGAAAAACTAGACACCTTCAGTTTTTTTTAAGAAATAGTAATAAGTTCTTGGTTTCCTGCAACTTATGTCCATTTATTAAAAATGGAACCCATAAAATTTGGAATTTGAAACTGTGATGTTCACCACCATTCTTTAAATGCTTTTTCTTTCTTCCTCGCTGCTAAATTATTCTCTTTGTTAACAGTGTGGGCATGATGACACAATTTTTGAACATAGGACCATCCTGGTGGATGCTAAACTTTAATAAAAAGGGAGACGCCAATCACTGTTTACTTGACAAAACCAGCCTAGATGAACCTACATGTATAATCCAGAGAAATAAATTCATAGTGAAATGTAGTATTTGTGGCAACACTGCTGAATACTGGTTATTTTTTCTATCAACTTCAATTTTTCTTTTCCATATGCAGATGCTACAGACTTTTTAGTCAGGTCAGTTCTCCTGTGTCTTAAATTAACAACATGTTATGCACAGAAAACTTGCAGAAAGCAAATAATAATATATATATATATATATATATACTTCTCTAACATGTATATCCTTTATAATGTTGAAAATCTGTGCACCTTGGCACAGGTCTTGGTCTTCCAAGAGAGCTAAGTAGAAAATTCTGTTTCCCACTGCTAAGATGTTAGGTTTGTAAGATCTTTGTTCTTGTCTGTAAAAGTCTAACACATCCCTGGTTGACACTGGTATGTTTATGTAGTATGAAACGTGTTCCTTTAAGGATTTTTGAAGATACTCTTGTACTAATTTAATAGAATCAAATAATGGTTTAGGTTGGAAGGAACCTTAAAATCATCTAGTTCCAACCCCAATGCTTGAGCAGGGACACCTCCCACTAGATCAGGTTGCTCAGAGCTCCATCCAGCCTGGTCTTGGACACTTCCAGGGAGCAGGCAGCCACAACTTCCCTGGGCAACCTGTCCACTGTCTCACTACCCTCACAGTGAAGAATTTCTTCCTAATACCTAACCTAAATTTACCCTATTCCAGCTTAAAGCCATTACTCCTCGTCCTATCACTACAAGCCCTTGTAAAAAGTCCCTCCCCAGCTTTTCTGTCATCTCTTCAGGTACTGGAAGGCTGCTCTAAGGTCTTGCCAGAGCCTTCTTTTCTCCAGGCTGAACAAGCCCAATTCTCTCAGCCTGTTTGCATAGGGGAGGTCCTCCAGCCCTCTAATCATGTTTGTGGCCCTTCTCTAGACTCTCTTCAAGAGCTCCATGTCCTTATGTTCATAGAATCATAAAATGGTTTGGTTTGGAAGGGCTGCTAAACATCATCTAGTTCTAATCCCCCTGCATGGGCTGGGACACCTCCTGCTAGATTAGGTTGCTCAAGGCCCCACCCAACTTCGTCTTGAAGACTTGCAGAGATGAGGCATCCACAACCTCCCTGGGCAACCAATTCCAGCATCTCACCGCCCTCACAGGAAATAACTTTTTCCTGATGTCCAACCTGAATCTCCCCTCTTTAAGCTTCAGATGACTGCCCCTTGTCCTCTCACTATACAGCTGTGTAAAAAGTCCTACTCCAGCTTTCTTGTGGGCCTCCTTCAGATACTGGAAAGTTGCTATAAGGTCATCACAATGCCTCCCCTTCTCTAGGCTGAATAACCCCAACTCTCTCAATCTCTGTTCATAGGAGAGGTGCTCCAGCCCTCTGATCATCCTCATGGCCCTTCTCTGGACATGCTCAAGGAGTTCTATGTCCTTCTTATGTTGGGGACTCCAGAACTGGACACAGTACTCCAGATGGGGTCTCTGTAGCAGAGTAGAGGGGGAGAATCACCTCTTGACTGGCTGACTATGCTTTTGATGCAGCCCAGGATATGGTTGGCTTTTTGGGATGCAAGTGCACATTGACGGCTCATGTTAAACTTCTGGTCTGCCACTGCCCCCAGGTCCTTCTCCTCTAGGCTGTCTACAATCCTTATTCCTTCCAACCTGTGCTCGTGCATGGGATTCCCTGGACACAGGTGCAGAACCTTGCACTTTGCCTTGTTGAACTTCATGCAGTTTGCATGAGCCCACTTCTCGAGCCTGTTAAGATCCCTCTGCATGTAAGCCAAAGAACTTGGGTACAGTTGAACATTTTCTTGTTTCAAAGACAACGTTGATGGAAAATAAACAAAAATATATACAGAATATGTGTTTTCATTATAAAACTTGGCAATAATGTTTAACTTGACTACGTTTAATGGGCAATTTTTTTTGTTTAAGAAGCTTAGTCAATGTGTAATAAGGTTTTACATAAACTTGGTGGAATAATCACATTAATGTCATGCCAACATTAAAAAATTCTTTCAAAGGATCACTTTTACTTGTTTATGGATGACATTGTAACAGGGCAAACTTAGTTGTGTTCTAACTGAAATAAAGGGGTTTTCTTGTACTATCTGTTATGAAAGGATAGTGCCAGAAGTGAAGGATGGTGAACAATGAGCTAGGTGAGTTGCCAAATTGTAAAAAAACAGAAGATTTCAGTTTTCTCTTAATTATTGCATTAGATGTACTTAGCTGTCTTTCCAACAGAGTTATAGATCTAGCTGTTAAACAGTAATTCGGCAACGCAGCTGACAACATTTGTTAAAGATTTCTGTCTTCTTTAAAGTAGTTTTGAGTTAGACTGTTTAGTGCAGGTGCTTTGAGACTGTGACTAATGATTCCTTTCATCCACTTACTTGTTTAATCTATTAAAAATTAGTTGTTGGTTCAGAAGTTTTAACTTAATGAATCAAAAGCCATTTCTTCTTTGTGTCCTATTGAACAAATTGACCAGACCATTTTGTTCATATTCCTAAGAAATTTAAATTAGTTTAGAATGCATTTTGTTTTGTGTTCAGTCTGAATTTAGATTTCTGCTTCTGTCTGAGGCCACTACAGCATTAAAACAGCTGTTCTTCTTTCACAGGCCTATGAAGAATACACCAGCAAACTAGATTCTCTACAGCAGAGAGAACAGCAATTACTGGAATCCATGGGAAATGGAACAGATTTCTCTGTCTCCAGCTCAGCTTCAACAGACACAGTTGCATCATCATCCTCCTCTAGCCTCTCTGTAGCACCTTCATCCCTTTCGGTTTATCAGAACCCTGCTGATATGTCACGGAATAACCCTAAGTCTCCACAGAAGCCTATTGTTAGAGTCTTCCTGCCCAACAAGCAAAGGACTGTGGTGAGTCAGTTTCTATTCACATACTTGTAATCTCAATACTTCCTTTATCTCTCTTCCTCCGTATGCAAAAGTTAAACTAGGAGTGGAAAATATACCTGTGTAGAGGTCAGAGGTGGTATGATCGCTGTTTGTGCTCTGCCACATTCAGTTGTTTTGATACATTAAATGTTTTCTGTAGGATTAACCAAGATGTCCATTATAGCAATAATACAGAATACAAAACTTTCAGGAGTTTTTTTAACAACAAAGATACCTTTAGATACCAAAGATACCTCTTTTTTTTTTTTTCTAATCAGTTTCATTGGATAAATAGTAATCTACTGTTTTACAATGATTAGAATAGGCCAGGAAGCTCTGCTTTTGAATTATACAAAATTATTGATTAGTTGAAGCTATTGGAGAAAGTGTTTTCAATATCAAAGATACAAGCAGCAGTGGTTACTTTGAAGAAAATACAAGCCTCTTGCAGCTAACAAGAGCTGTGCAGAATCTCTTAGGTTTGGGGTTTTTTCTATTCTTCCCCACTCACTGTAGCGAGTGTTTCTTATTGGGACCTTGATGCTTTTGGGCCCTGTGTAGACAATTGGCTAGGAGAGGGTCACAGTTGCTGTTAGGATGGGCAGGAATTGTTGCCTGCAAATTGGTCAAAAACTACTGTTTATCAGTTTTGACAGTATTATAGTGATTCCTGGAGTCATGGAATAAGAACTGAGTTTTTGCTGGCTACTTAATTACCTGTGACATGTGGGATTTTTTTTGTCTTTTAAGAGCTGCTAATTGAAGAGCCTTAGTATGTGCTTTAGAATAATACACTACTAAACTGTGATAAATTAAGTAACTGACAAGCCATAGTCTAGGCTCTGTTTTGTAAGGCAATTAAGAGCACTCCTCACTTGGGAGTGCTGTGGTTCCAGAGAAAGCGGAAAATGAATGGCTAGCACAGCCAGTGTCTGTGCAAAATCTGTGGTTTTCATAACATCTGGTCAGGTATTGGCTGTCACTGGGCGGTGACTGCTTGTGGAAACTGAGTTGCTGGCAAAGACAAGAAAACAAACTTAGTAGTGCTGAGCATTGAGAATGTTTTCTTCCTTCCCCTGCCACTTTCCTTCCATTCCTCCCTCCTTCCATCCCACTGAACAAAAGAGATTGTAAGACTTATATGAGGAACAGCAGATTAAAAGGCAGTTGTTTTCACCTGATGTTTTTCTTTAAGTTTTGCTTGACTGTTAAAGATATTGCCAAAGATTGAAAGTAGTTTTTGGTTTTCAACCTAGAGAATGGAGGTTTAATATAAACTATGACCACTGTGCAGATATGTGGTGTTAAGCAAGGTGATTATTTTTCTGTCTGCCTGTGAGGTATGGCTAGGCACACAGCACTGCCCACATTGTGAAATCTGGAGAGAAGGTATTTGATTTTGGAAAGATTCTTGTTTCTTCATGTATCCTGTCATACCATGTCTGTCTACTCTAGCTGCAGCCCCTGTGAAGGGGCTGTTCCAAAAGTTGTTTCTATTTCTTCCTCACAATGGGTCATAGTATATCGCTTCCTGCATCGTTATGTGCATTTCCTTTTTGTTCTCTCTTATGTGCTCTCATCTTCTTCTCTAATTAATTTTAATGTATCTCTACTCTTATTTTCTCCTTATCTGTAATATTCTTCTTTCCTCTTTTTCATCTCCTCCTCAATCCAGTTATCAGAGATGTAGTGAGGCTTTACTCAAGTCTGAGCTGTTTTGCTTTTAAAGGAATCATTTTATATAAATAATAGTTTATTATTATGAAATAGACTATATTGAACTTGTAGGCAAGAATTAATATTCTTTTATGATCAAATGTGTGTATTTCACAAAGTTTAAGTTACTCTGAATATGCAAATCTGATTACAAGTTAGGAAAAAGAGGCAAATGAATTTCACTGTGAACCAGGTGGTAAAATTTTGGACCAGCAGAGAACTGTCTTTCCTCACCTTAGATGTGTTTTTCTTGTGTGTTGCTGGTCCATTCTAACTGAAGTAAAACAAGTTGTCTTCAACAAATGCATCTTAAATTCTTAAGTAACAGCAACAGATCAGCTTGTTATACTCAAAACCATGTGAGACTGTGCTTTCCTGGATTAGTATTTCTTCTCACTTTTATCCCTAAGCTTTGGGTTTTTGGTGAATGTTGCAATTCTATGGTATCAGTCATGCTTATTAAGAGCTTGCAGATTTAACCAGAGATTAAGTTGAGGAGTGCTAGCTTGTCTCTTGCTATGTCTTGACTAAGAGTTTACTGTCTGGCCTGAGAGAACCTGCTTCTCCCTTCATAAAGGAATAGTAACATTTAGCAGTAGTACTCAGTGACTGGCAGCTGGGCAGTAGGAGTTTTTTTCCAGCACTGAATCTAGATGCTCTTTCCTGGCTACTGGAGGCAAATGTGGTTTAACTTGGGTGTAGCCAGGCTATTGCTTCCATATCAAGCTCTTTACTGGAGTCTAAAGACTTGTTTGCCTTATTAGTGTAGCCCTGCAGCTTGTTTCCAGCTTGCTAAATGTGGGACACTAAGATAAGAGATTCAGGAAAATCTGTAGTCTTATTCTGTTGTAATAAAAATGTAATAATAATAATAATAATAATAGTAGTAGTGCCAACAAAAGAGTAGGAGACAGGCTAGTGCTGGAGGGAAGGTGCAAGTCCCTTTAGTCTCACATCTGGTATGTCTCTGTAGATGCACTTACACAAAGAGACAGGTGCCCTGCAGATGCTGGGAGGCATGAGCTACACGTACGGGATCTCTGGATGCTCAAGTTGACTTTGGTTCATGGAGAGAGCTGACTTACTTGTACTGCAGTTTTATTCATTGGTTGAATCTAGTCACATTACTACATTGAACTATTTTTTTTTATAGACCTAGTAAATTATCTCTGTTTTAGGGCTGGGGAGTGGTGCTTAAAGGAACCCTGAGTGTTAGGATATTGGCCTTGCAGCTGAAGTTCATTTCTCTGAATACTGAAGTAGTGTTCATGTGACTGAGACACTCAGGAATTTCTTATATGGCATCTCTTAATGTAGTTACTCTATTTCCAGTCATGAAAACAAGTTCCAGAAACAAACCCAGTTCAAAAGGAATTGCAGCTTACGGTGCAGTTTGAACTGCAGGTAGTCAGATGACAGGCTTCCACCAAACATTTTTCAGTGAATATTGAGATTACTTGCTGTATTAGACTTCATTCTCTCAATGGATAGAGAAGTTCTGCTTGTATCTTAGACTTCCTTCATACCTTTGGCTTTAAAAACAGACCTGTTGTCTCACTTGTGCCCATGAACTAGGCCATTTGCTTACAAAGCCATGACAGTAGTTTAGAGTTTTTGGGTATATAGGATAGCTTCAGATGAGAGGTGGGTTGAAGGAGGAAGGAAATTCTTTGTGAAAGTACATGGTACCTGCCACTAAGGCCTCCCCCTGCCCAAGTCCCCATTCCATATGACTGTTAAAGTAAGGATAGAATGTGTGCGACAATCAAGTATGTAGCTGAAAAAGGAGAGATGCTCCAAGTTGTGGTGTTGCAACCAGGTGCCCTCAAACTCAACCCTAACTGCTTTCAAATAATACTTGCTTCTGAAAGAAATCTTTTAATATCACAATAGTATTTACAGTCTCTACCTCCAACCACAGACTGAGTTCAGGAGGGGAGAAATCTTGTCAGTCTTTGTTTACTTTTATCTGGAATGCAGTGACAGTTCGTAAAATTAAGTAAAGTGACTGGAATTAAGTCAGTAATGGAGAACCAATCCTTATTTATCTTTGATCATACTCTGAAGCAGTCCCAAGTACTACAACAGCCTTCTGCTATTTGTTTAGGGCTGTTAAAAATGCAGGAAATGGGGACAGGGGGAGATGCTTATGTTTTTTACTAGTTTTGTTACTTGAGAGTTGTGTACATTTTTTGTTTATTAGTAGTATTGTTTGTATGTGGGATCTAGCAAATACATCTGTTTGAGTTGGCTCCAATTAGAACGTGAGGAAATGGATGGAGTATAAAGAAATGAGACCACACTGAGCGGTGTAAGTGATTTTGGTGCCCTAGGTAGTGTAGCTGTTGACCAGGCTTCATTGTATGTGTCATGATAAAGCAATGTTGGACAAAGTTTTTCCTGATGTAAGAAAAGGTGTGAAGGTTCTTCCTTGAAAGCATAGCTAGTATGTGGTAGAGCCTACTGCTGCTTATCAATTAGCAGCTGAAGTCAACATACTGATGCAGCCAGCAGCAGCAGTGTTAGAAGGTAACTTTTGTTGGAAGCAAAACCAAGTAGCTGCCTTGGTTAGTTGGAAGAGAGTCAATTAATAAGTAGAGTCAGAAAAAGAATATTGTTTTCCTCTGCAGTCAGCCTGGGAAGGGATGAAGAGAAGCTTCCTTCCCTGAACAACCTCCTAGGGAAAAAAAAACAAAACAAAAACAACAACAACAAAACAAACAAAAAAACCACACAGATTGTTTGCTATTCTCTGGGGGAAAAATGTTTATCCCCCTATAATATAGAGAGATAAATGTCTGAAATACATATACTTTCTCTTTCCTCAGTGACATGGTTCAACTGGCAAGTTAAATGGCCTTTACAGAAGCACTCTGCATAGATGTGATCAGGATGAATCTTTGTGGGTGGGTTTGTTGTGTTGAGAGAAGGATATTGAAATAATAAGCATACAAGATGGAACAAGTCTACTCGAGATGGTCAGTTGTTTTGGAGAACAAATTGACAAGGCTTATTCAAACTGTGTGTGGAAGAATTTAGGGGAAAATAGTTTGAAGCTTGTTTGTGTTACAAATCTAAATGGCTGTGGGGTGGATACTAGCAAAAGTGCTAATTAAGGGAAGGCTTTTGGATGGGAGAGGAAGGTAAGAATTCTGCCCTTGAGCTGGCTGCTAGAAGTCTGAGAGATTGTTAGATGCTGAGACTTAGTTTTGGTAGAAGGGGATAGTCTTGAATGGGAAGTGGATCATTGTGTCTGTGTAAAAACT